TAGGAATGCCTCAGAGCAATCCCAGAGGTCCCTAATGCCACCTCTTCTCACCTATCATTCATCCAAAACTCAATTTACCTCCCGCAACACGACTGGGTCTCTTCTGCCCTTTCTTTTTTTTGAGAACCATCTTGCCAGCTCCAGGAAGAAACCCTGAATTGTTGAGTTTATTCAGACTGCCTCAGTTTCCCTGTTAGTAAAATGAGGGAATCAGGCATGATCACTATGCACCTTCCTACTCTACCTTCTTGCCCTGGTGGCACTTAACCGCTACCCAGAAGGCTGGTGATTTAAACCCACCAGCCACTCCTCGGAAGGAAGGTTGGGCTATACTTCTGTAGGGATACTGCCTCAGAAACCCAAGGAGGGGTCACTATGAGACGGATCCAACTTGACGGCAGTGCATGGCGTTTGCCTTAGACCTGTGAACATGTCTTATATGGCTAAAGGAAGACTGCCTAGGTAGGCCTGATCTAATAGGGCAAGTCCTTTTAAAGCAGAGTTTTCTCTGGCTAGTCCCAGAAGAGCAAATCAGCACTCCAGGTTGTCCAGAAGAAAGGAAACATACATGTGTGAACTGCCTGTGAGAGGCACGTGGCAAGGAACCACAAGCAACCTCTAAGATCTAAGAGTGATACCCAGTGACCAGCTCCAGGTAAATGGGGACCCTGGTCCTATATCCACAAGGAAATTAATTCTGCCAACAATCTGTGAGTCTGGAAGAGATCCCCGAGACCCCAATGCGAACCACAGTCCTGGCCAACACTTTGACTCCAGCCCAGAAGTCTGAGCAGAGACCCTAAACAGAGGATTGAGCCACACCACACTCAGACTCCCAACCTACAGAAACTGACATATTAAATGCATGTTGTTTTACGCCACTAAGTTTGTGGTGATTTGTTATGCAACAATAAAAAACGAATACACCAGAGTTCAAAGACAGTACAAAACTGTGAAACAACTCATTAATAATTTATTGATTCATACTGAAATGATAACATTTGGATATATAGTGTTCAATAAAATATATTATTAAAGTTAATTCACCTGCTACTTTTACTTTTTTAAAAAATGTTGCTACCAGAAAATTTTAAGTCATATATTGGGAGCTCTGGTAGCATAGTGCCTAGGGCACTTGACTGCTAACCAGAAGGCTGGCGCTTCAAACTCCTTGGAAGGAAGGTTGGGCAATCTACTTCTATAGTGATACTGCCTCGGGAACCCAAGGAGGGGTTGCTAAGTCAGGTCCAACTCAAGAGCAAACAACAACAATGTGGTTCACGTTCTATTTAATATTGAACAGTGCTAGCCTAGGACTAAGAAGTCAGCCTTATGGTCTCAGGCAAGTCACCTCATCTCTCAAAGTTTTATTTTTCTTATCTGTGTGATTTGAATAGTAATAGCACCTACCCTGTTTCCAAGGGGCCCTGGTGGTATAATGATTAAGCACTGGGCTGGTAACTGAAAGATGGCAGGTTTGAATCCACCAGCCCCTCTGCAGGAGAAAAGCCTGGAAATCTGCTTTCATAAAGGTTACAGTCTAGGAAACCCTACAGGGCAATTCTACCTATCACAAGGGGTTGCTGTGAGCTGGAACTGACTCCACAGCACCTAACCACAACAACCCTATCTGCAGCTTAAATGAGTACGCCTGTAGTGTACTCATCTGGTGGTGGTGGTGTGTATGGTGACCCTGTGTACAACAGAATGAGACAATGTCCGGTCCTACACCAGTCTTACAATCCTTGCCACGTCTAAGCCCACTGTTGCACCTACTTTGTCAATCATTTCATTGAGAGCCTTCCCCTTTTTTGTTGACCCTCCACTTTACCAAGCATGATATCCTGCCCCAGAGAATGGTCCCTTCTGACAACGTGACCAAAGTAGGTGAGAGAAAGTCTGGCCATTCTCTCTTCCAAGAACATTGTGATCAGTTGTCAAATAAAAACCAATCCAGACTAACACAGGGAGAAGCTTCAGAAAGAAAGACTACTGTAACAGGGAGAACGCACCATCTCCGTAAACTGTGTCTCAAAATCAAACGGCAAAGGGCTTTGCTTTTAAAGGGTAATGGGTGGCAAGCTGTGATAGCAAATTCTTACAAGGGGAGGCTGGACAAGCAAGAGAAAATGACCAGCGGAGTCCTGCTGTGGTCAGCTGACTCCCTGGAGAACCCAGGAATCACATTCTACTTTTGCAGCGCTTACTTCAGCTTGGGGCAAGCAGGGTTAGGGGCTGCAGGATGGAGAGTTAGGGGCTGCAGGATGGTGAGAAGCCAGCTCCAGTTTGGTTGAGACAAAGCAGAAGGTAAGGAATAGGCAGCACTGGATCCCAGCAGTAACAGTCAGTATTTGTAACCCAGTGCCCCCTCCTTGTTGTGAGTCTTCAGCACCCTCTCTCTGACCAGGCACACGACAGGCACTCAGTATATTCCTGCTGACTACCAAGAACCTTAGGAAGCTCTCTGGCACAGGTTCCTCCCTTACCCTCACAACCATCTGCACAGTGAGAATTAGGACCCCACTGGCAAACAAGAAAACTGAGCCTCGGGGTAAAAATACATCAGGCTTCGCAGCCCAGGAGGGGAAGAGTCAGGTCCGAAGACTAGCTTAAGCCAAGCCTCTTGGCTCACAGGGTGGAGGCCTGTTCTACCAAAAACAAACAAAAAAAATCATTGCCATCAAGTTGATTCTGATTCACAGTGACCACATACTACAGAATACAACTGACCCAAGGGGTTCCCAAGGCTATCACCTTTATACATGGAGCAGCCGGTGGATCCAACGGCCAACCTCTCAGCTGCTGAGCACTTTACCCCTGCAGTGCCAGTTCTACCAGTCCCTCATTCAGATCCCAGTGGCAGTCCTGGAAGATGTGGGTTCTAATTCCAGGTCCATGCTCCCAGCTGAACACCCTAGGTCTGGTGGCTGGACCTCGTCTGTGAGACAGGGGCCTGCATGGCCCGTGCCTGCCAAGTCTGTGTCAGGAAATCTTGAGACCCTGCATCTGAAGCAGAGTGCCTGCACATACTAAATGCTCAATTAAGGAAGCGATTATTACTGTCACTGGTGATCTCCTTGGCCAGAGAAGCTCTGCCTGAGACTCCTCTCTAGAGGAGCCCCATCCCTGAAATGACCCCGTGTCCCCGGGGCCCTGGTCTCCAGCCACCACTAACCCCTGGCCCCCCCAACTGAGTCAGAAATAGAAGCCACCACCTCCGGCCGCCCGCGGCCTCCCTCCCTCCCCCGCAGCGGGCCGGCAGCGATCAATGCGGCCTCAGCCGCGAGGGACTGAGAGAGGCCAGGAAGGAGGGGGTGCGGGGCCTCCAGCAGCAGCGCGACTCCGCGGGGCCGGGGCACAGAGGAACCAGGGTGCAGCCGGAGGCTCCTACCTTGGCACCTGCACCTTTGGGGACAGATGCGCAGGGAGCCCAGGAGGTGCTGCGACAGGTAAGGGGCGCCCCTTGGGGAGGGGTGTGGTCTGGGGAAAGAGCGGAGGGGAGGCTGACTGAGGTTCGGGTGACTGCCCTCTCTCTGGTAACCCCAAGGAGGGAGCTGTGTGGGAGGATGGCTGCGTTTGGAAGAGACCTTGCTTGGGCCCTCGCTCATCTGTAAAATAGGTTAAAAAGTCTCCCTGCAGGCTGGTAGCGGGATTAAGAATTCGGGGTTTACCCAGTGCAGCGCTGGGACCTGCACATAGTAGGGTTCAAAAATAAACGTATGGAGAGAGACTGGAGTCAAAAAGCATGGTTTCCAACCTCAACTGTGCCACAGACTACCCGGGTGATTTTGAACAAGTCACGTGACCTTCAAATTCTCCCCCCAAAAAATGTGTGTGGAGCTACCCCATTTCATAAAGCAGGAAGTGAGTTCCAGAAAGAGAAAGGGATTTGCCCAAGATCAGGCAGCTAATGGGTGATGGAACTGGATTAGAAAACATCATCTTCTGACTCCAAGTTCAGGGGCAGGGTGTGCAGTGGGGCCGCACCACACATGCATTTATCATGCCCCTT